AAAAAAAAAAGTAAACAAGTTCTCAGCTTTACACGAAGGCACACGTTTCAACCGTGAATTTTGGAGCTTCGACAAGACGGAGGTCCCCCCCCCCCGATATTGGCCTGTTAGCTTAGCTCGTAGCTTAGCTTCTCAGCTTAGCTGCTTTTAAGGATCCAAAAACGTGATTTTGAATCGTTAAAACAGATTTTAAAGAGAAAGGGAGGAGTCAGTGAAGAGCACCGTTGAGCTTCTTGTCATCCAGTGTCTTCAGTAGAAAGAGAGACACGAAGAAACGATAAAGCCGATAAATGAAAATGAAGTTGATAATTTTCATTCATCATGCGATTAATATATTGTTTATCACGACAGGCTTAGCCATGGTGTCTCTGAGCAAGACACCTAATCCCCAATTGCTCCCTGGCAACTACATAGCAGCCCACTGCTCCACCTGGGTGTATCTCACATGTGATGGGTTAAATGCAAAGAACTAATTTTGCCATGTGGGAACATACAATGACAATCTCAGACTTCCCGTCCCTTCCCTTAATACATGCAAACAGGGCAAAATGTTGGCATTTATCAACCTAAATTTTATGGGATTAAAGATATATTTAAGCTGCAGACGAGGTTTACAAAAAACAATTAGTGGAGAATCTCTAATACCTGCTTCAAATATAGTAACTTTGAACTTCCTGCTCGACTCCCAAGTGCACATACTCTTCTGGTGCCTTATTCCACCAGCTTCCAATCATCTAAACTGCTTTAAATTAATACTCTAACCAAGTAATATCCTAATTCAACAATTATTAATTAACAGTTAATCATGTCAGACTGTGAGCAGCACACCTAGGCTGCAGAGAAGCAGATGTTTGAGCTCCTTGTAGACTCTGACAAGACATTTGCCACCAACCAACTCAATTAAAGCTCTGCAGCCTCCCACGGTGAGAGCAACCACAGCTCCAAGTGACAGCCCAATGTCCTCCCACGTACTCACCCTACAGCCACAACAAATCTCTCACCAACTTTTTCTTCTTAGAAAGTAATCTCCCTCTGAATCAAACTAGTAGATAAATCAGGGATTCAAAAGCCTTTTTATCTTGGGTTTCACACCTTATCTGCAAATGCAACGTAAACATTCTGACATATGTGCACATAGTTCACTATAAAGATGTGTCTAATCACAGTGAAAGCCTGTCCATTTGTGATTCTAATGTGACAACATGAACATGTCCTTTTAAGAAAAACAGTCCCGCTGCTGTCGGATACGACTTGTTATTTCAGCTCCATCGGATGTTCACCTCAAAGAAAGCAAAAGAATTGAAGGAAAGGCCTCGCTCATTTACGTTTTCCCACGGTCAAAAAGAGAAGAAAAAAAATTGCTGACTGATTTCAACTGTGATGCTTGAACAGGAAATGTGGACAGCACACCAAGAACAAGCAGTTTTTATTGAAGTTTGCATCAACAAACAAGGCAGTTTGCACACAAATGGAAAACTTTATTGAACTCGGTGTTGGAAATTCTTTCAAACTTGACTTGTCCTGATTAATTCCATCAACCGCTTGAACACAACCTCGTGTTCACGTTAAAAAAAGAGAAAATACACAAGAGCCAACTGTTCAAACCCATGGCTTACATGTCAGTTTTTCAGCATCCGAACTTATTTTTATAAAAGTTTGTATTTATTTTATTTTTCCACTTCTTTATCCAGCTAAAAATAGTTACCTGAAGCCTGTTGCTGATTTTATGTGTTTGGGGGCCTGGCCCCGTCTGCGCTGTGGCATGCAAACTGAGCAGAGAAGCGCCAGCTCGGATTAGTGAAGGCAGTAAACATGCACTAATGAATCCCACGCTGCAGCAGAGTACAACAGCTCACAGTAGCTCTGTTAATACTTGTATTAATTGTAGCCGAGGAATACGTTGAGGTTGTGTAGACTAGTTGCACTCTCATGCTCCACCAAGAATATTCTGCTGATAATGTCCCCCAAGGCTCCCGTCACACCCCTACGTTTTTAAAAAGTAAGGATTAAGAACACAGCGTGCTCCCCATTATAGAACTACATGGGTCGACAAGGATTCAGAGCCTGAGCAAAACTTGTGTGGCAAAATGTTTGCATGGTGGAGCATGGTGGCAGTGTTCCCATGATGTGGGCTTTCTCGTTCAGAAAATGAAGCAGTTCTGGCCTCGTGCCTCGACTAGCAGAACTACAATCAGGTCATAAAAACAACAGAGAACAGATGCGATACCCGTCATGCTAGTGTGGCATCCTGATGAAGTCCAAGAGAGTCGTCCCAAAGAAGACGTATAAAACATGGGAGGTGCAGGAGACATGTCTGAGAAAAATGTGTTTGGTGAGCACTGAGTGTAGCAGCACTACGACTGCAGACACAAAGGAGGTTTTAATTTGCAACAATCCAGTCCAGTTCTAAAAGGTCACGTAGGTTGTGTAAAATGTATAGATCTAACATAAACAACTTGGCTTTTATTTAAAAAAATAACAATTGCACACCTTCATATAATAAATTCAGCCTCTACAATTTTAGATTTATTTTTTAGTGTGCTTCGTGTAGTCTCTCTATCTGATTCATTCCCCAATCTTTTTTCTAGTGAAAGCAATGTCGTCTGAATAATAATGCCCTAAATTTAGTATTTTATGGGGTCACCACTAAACATATGCTCATGAGACCAAAGTAACAACCTTTAAAATACTGGTTGGTGAATTAGATGTATACAAACCACATGTATCCAGTTAAAGACTATGAGATCCATTGGCACTTGGAGAGATCTGTTATAAAAAGGAGACTTGGCCAAAGTAGCAGCCATCAAAGAATCTAATGTAATGAGCAATAAAACAGTGACAGCTATTTAAAAGCAGGAACCTCACAAGAAAACAGCAATGTTCCTCCCTCACTTCATTCTTTACGGTGCACTTGAAATCCCTGACAAACGTTTTGCAGTTGAAGAATTTCCAGAGATTATTTCAGGACCATGGTGGATCATGGACCTTGATAGGAAAAGCCGTCTCCAAAAGCTGTCAAAGCTCAGGGAACATTCAGTAGCAACCACTTCAAGGTGCACAGCTGGTAACTGCTAGATGTATGAAGTATTGTACTTTACCGTGTGATGCTTTATAAGTAAACATGTACTAGTTGTTGTCTGGGGATGGTTAGTGATGGCCAAACAACTAAAGCTTAAAAAGTACAGTGGTGAGAAGCGATTTTATACTCAGCGGCTCTAATCAACTACAAAGTTCAGCTCACATTCCCAGAAAAATGTCTGTATCATTGGTTCTGTTTGCAGTCCAAGGTGTAACATTAGTACACTGCTTAATTCTTTACACTCAAAATAGACAGAGCGACTACCGTATTTAAATGTTGCACATGTAGTGCGCTGTTCTGAGATCTTCCTCGCTTTTGATGTGAGCTGGTGTGAGTGTTTGGCAGACATATTTAGCACGAAGCGCTTGTGTTGAGATCCAGGCATATCAAAGTGCACACGTCAACGGTCAAGTGATGTGTGAGAGTCAGCGAGAGTGTGAGCGAGCTCTGGTTTAGCATTTACGGTTAAGTTGTGTTAATAATTGACTCTACATGGACAGGAGGCCTGTGGTGCTCTCTGACTTCCTGTCACATGATTCAGTGACCGCTACCTCTTTAAAAGGGACTCTAAGAGGCTGTTGCGCACCTTGTTCCAGTTTGACCATTTATCATTGAAGGTTATTGCAAAACTACAATGACTGGATCAGCATCACTTCCATCAATATTTAGAATGAAACGTGAAGGCGGTTTTATTTTATCGTTTTGGGTTTGTTTGGTTTTTTTTTTTTACAAAAAAAGTGGAAGTTCATATGAGCTAGGCTAATCTCTCCCTGTAACCGACAGGCTCTTATCAGCCTGTAGCTGTTTGTTTACGCTACACTTCCTCCACAGCCTTCAGCACACAAGACGCTTTTGAATTATCAGCTCAGAAACATTCTGCACATGTGTCACGATGCTATCACGAAGCAGCCGGCACAAAGCTGCAGCCGCAGTGTGAGATGGGTTCCACGTGGCTGCACGGGTCAAATTTTATCCTGTTTCACCATCAAATAACACATTCGGTAGTCATAACCAGATTGAAGAGATGGGGTCTGTGCAGAAAAGTTCCACAGATTAAAAGCCAGTGCATACTTCATATGTGGCTTTCAGCTGTTTGAATCCTCCTTGTTCATATTTTGTTGCTTTGTGATAAAACAAACTCACCCAGACACGTCTGGACTGCAAGTAGTCCAGTTTGCACCTGAGAGTCGAGTTCGTATGCACACAAAATGGGATTTACTGTATTGTCTTGCTGAAATAAGCAAGACAATGCACTTTATACTTATAATTTAATTCACTGTAAGACAACGTTTTAGTATTTATCATGTTAATTTAATTTGCTTTAAGTGCAATAAGTTAATCATTGTTTTTCATTTACTATATCGTGCTTTTTTTTTTTACATTTTATACAATTTGACAACACTTGCGTACTGAACAGTACTTTGTACTAGCATGACTTTTTTTTTGTCCAGTTTATTCATTCTATCCACATTTCAGAGTTTTATTTTGTTGTTGTTTTTTGTTTGTTGTTCACAGATTTTGCTCACGAGTTCAGAACTACAGATCCTGCCAGTCAGGCACTTTATCATTTTCCAGCAGCTACAGGCTTCATATGGTTTCATAGATGGTGAGACACTTCAGAGTTCCACAGAGAGACAGACAGATGAAAGGTGCATGCATTTCAGCCATTACTTTGACATTATGGTGCAGGAGCATAAACTCACAAGTGAAGGTGGCGTGCATGAGAAGCTCTTAGGAAAAGACATTAGCTCCTTTATTGTGAATTTAAAAACAGATTCTGGTTCATCCCCTAGGTTTATCTGTAGAAGCCCAGGAGCACCTTAGATTGGTGTGATTTGACTCATCCATCCATCCATCTATCCATTCATCCAACCATCTATCCATTCAGGCAGGCAGACAGGAAACCAGAGAACAGCCTTACCGTGATTGTCTTCATCCATCCTGTAGGAGCGACCTGGCAGTCCAGATGAAGATGTAGAACCTCGCAGGAAATGTGTTTACCTCCTTTATTTCCAACAGAACCCTCTCGCCATCCACGGAAACATACAGGCTGAGCCCGTGCTGCGTTCACGGACAGACGGGGAAAGTGAAGCGCCGCGCAGCCGCCCGATCACGAACTAAACGAATCTGAGAGGGACTGAAACGCAGCTCCTGAGCTGTAGACGTGATGTTTCCGAGAGGAGACGTGAGACAGCTCCTGCTCCATCTTTTCATCCGCTCCGCCTGCCTTCAACCAGAGCCGCGTCATCAAGCCCCGCCCACTGCACGCGACGCCACAACACACTGATGCGCGCGCACGCAAACGCAACGTGAAATATATATTAATGCATTTTTTTAACCACAATATGATTTATTACCCATATTTTCACTGTCTAAATACTTTTTTCACCAGTTTGCACCATGTTTTTACTGGTGTCGTTTGTGACATGATTTGGTGAAAAAATAAAAACATTAAACTCCATTTTCCACCATGACTTTGTTGCCAATTTGTTCGGTTTATCTCACAAGTAAACCAATCGATTTAACGTTTCCAGTTATAAATAAAACCAGCGAGATTAGTTGAGCGGTGAACATGCTAGCTATCGTTAGCGACGCTAGCTAACAAAGTAGTTTTCTGCATTTATTGCTTTCACACACCAAAGACTGTGTGCAATGACAAACAAAGCTTCTGCTTCCATTGAACATAAATTAAGCCACAATATCCAGTTTACGGATGCGGCCTTGTCATAATTTTAAAGCCAGAAATGTAAAGAGGCGGCTAACCGAAAAGTTAGCTACTCTAACCCATGTTCTGCTAACTAAAAAAAAAAATCTATGCTATAATGCTAAACCTCTAAATACATAAAATATATATAAATATATATAAAATAGCAGAACACTAAACCTCTCAGACGTCTTGTCACGTGTTAGTGCCTAACGGACACTTTGAGGCACGCCCACCGGAACAAGCTTTTAAATTTTTTAAGCTGATTTAAAGTTGGCAAAACCTAATTTAACGGATGCTAATTCTGCTAACAGTTTCCAAAGTTAGTGAAAACTCTAATCCACTGAAGAAAAACAATTGTTCTATAATTTGAATTTAGTAGATTAGCAGAATTGTGCCCACGGCTGAATAATTACTACAACTACTAATTACTAAATGTAAAAATGAGTAACATACAGCAACGAAGTAATAACCACGGAAAAAGAAATCCACTGGAGTAGCTTACCACAATGAGGACATGTGCCGCCATCTTGCTAGGTGCTAAGTGCTGGCCTTGGTTAATTGCCTGTGAATAGCAAGTGGCCATCAGGGCGCTAACGATCGGTAGTTAGGCTGATGGTCCTCCTTTTGCAATGTGAACAACTACTTTTGGCTGTCACCAGCAAACTGGCTGATCCACTATGAATAGATGCAATTAAAAAGACTGAGTTTATTTGCAGATCTTCAGACTGACGAAGTCTATTGGATAAAAGTGAAACATTTCAACAAGAAGAATCCGTCCAGAGGACCTGACTTAATCTTGTTAGACTTAGCCACCTGGATTATTGGAGAAGGGGGTCTTGGATTATTGAGCATGCATCAAGACAAGTCCTTGGTTAATGCCCTCCTTGCAGCAGACCCTAGATTTATGAAGAGAGAAAAAAAACTAAATTCAACCAAGAAGTCAATTTTTTTTCCAACAAATGTTATAATTATCACAATGTTAACTTCAAAGAATGTGCCATTATGTTTATTTATTTTTCAGTGGAAGTCCTAGTCTAGTACACTGTATTTATGGTACCAGGAGCCACGTTCTCTACACTAGTCTGCTATAGTTACTGTACTGAGGGTAGGCATATACCAGCTAACTGAAAAGGCAATTATACAGTATTAGCATTAGTATTTTTCCTAAATAATAGTCATTATTCTACCAACCTTTGCCATTTTATGAATAAAATATGTTTGGTAAATAGTAGTGAATTACTGAATCTATTAGACAAAAACTCATTTATCCAAAACTTACCAAATAGTATAATATTCTATTATGACAAATCATGCAGCACTTAGCAATATGGAAGCCACAGATAATCACTATATCAGTGGCCATTTCATACACTCCCATTTTAATAGCAAAAACTAGATGTATCAACAAAAGTCACAATCTGGGAAAATTATCTGAGGTGGATTTTTTTTTTTATATCAATAAATGTTTACATGAACGTGCATTTATTTTTTAGCCAGCCAATCAACCATTTATTTAGCTGTCCAATCAGGAAGGGCTTGTATAGTTTCACCTTTAACATCAATGTTTTGCTCCTGTGTTATAATAGTCTGTGGCAGCAACATGATTCCTAATAGAGACTGCAAAATATTCTGTGTGCAGCTAATTTAACTACAGATTTAAACCACCTGAAGTGAAAATAAAACATTTATTTTTGCAGCTATCAAAACTTTTTATATGTAAAGAAGCCATGTTGGCTTTTCAGCTTGGCGTTGGTTGGGATATCTGATTTAATGGAGCTTTTCAGTTTATTTTTCTAAAACAAGAACTCCATAGGCTGAAAGTCTCGTTGTGTTCAGTGGCAAAATCGGTCAAGATTTTGTACAAACGTGGACCCAGAAAACCACTTTAAAGAATGTAATTTTAAAGAGAATTAATCTTGTGCCTGACAGCTCACGCTAACATAGCTCACGCCACATCACATATGTATAATTTATGATTTAAACGCCATCTGTGATCCTAAATGCCTCTTTGGGATTAAAAACAAAAAGCTTACCTTGAGCTTTGAAATTTAAACTCTCAATTTGAAAAAATTTACATATTTTTAAAAATCAACAAGAAGACAGATTTTCTTGTTAGGACTTAAACAACAATTATTTGAGCATTATTCGTTGATCTTTCCTCGTTGCAGTGAACTTAAGCTGCTGAACGGAGCTCACAGAAGCAATGCTAAAAAATAAGTACTTAACAATTTCACCACAATCTTTAACTTTTGATAGCCGTACAATTTTGTTTTAAATTCCTTTTCAATTATTCTCCTATTGCTTAATGATAATCTTTATATATATATATATATATATATATATATATATATATA